GTGATTAGTTGTCAGTCTGTGCTCCACACAGTTGTTATTATGTTTGACAACACTTAAGCTCTCTCCTACTCTAACAGATACTCAAAACACACAATCTAATTTATATTAGCAAATACTAAACATGACACATACCTACTGATTGAAACATTTCTTAATGCCCTGATGCACAGCAATGAATGTTGCAGAAAGTTTGCAGTTCTTCTCCTCCAAGCCTAATGTTAAAAGAAAAGTAATCCTTCTCAGCCCAGGCTCCAATTGCAATTGAATAAGCTTTCAGATTTTCCAGAATCTCTGCTGGCTGAAGCAGAATGAAGTATCTTACTTAATACTATATTCATCACTTTAGGTGGCTCTTTTGAAGGGCTTTTTAGCAATATTTTCAAAAATTACACAATTTATTCATAATTCTGGGTAACAGTGAACAAGTCAGTTAAGAGCACACTTAAATCTAAAGCCATTTTGCCTTGTGCATGCCCATCCCAAGGGACCAGCAGGTGAACTTCACCATCCAGATCTAAAGAATTGCTCAGTGCAGCTGATGGAGCAAGCACAGCTACCAGACAAGCTCCAGCATCACTAATACAGGTTATCTCCTTTCCTAACTGCTCCATTACCTCACTCTTGGCAAACCAGCACACGACACAGAATGGATCAGAAAATCCTTGCTTAACCAGTGCCCAGCCCACCTCTACTAAACTGCCACAGCAGCAATATTCACTGAGCCATTCAAGGCTTCCTAAGAAATAAAAAAATTAAACCAGAGCATGTGGGGTGTTCCAGGTTAAAGCATATTTATACAACTGCAACAGTACATCAAACTACAGGGAAGTGAGTGGGAAGAGACAGATGAGCCACAGGCAAAATTCGATATGCATGAATTATTACATCAGTAATAATGCAATTAATGTAATTAATATGTACATCAGTACTTGTCCCATGTTGCAAGATCTGATCCAGGGTGAAATCACTCACCAAATCCCAGAATATCAGGTTGGAAGGGACCTCAGGGATCATCAACTTTTCTCAACAAAAGCATGGTCTAGGCAAAATGGTCCAGCATCCTGTCCAGCCAAATCTTAAAAGCATCCAACATGGAGGAATCCACCACTTTTCTGGGGAGATTATTTCAGTGGCTGATTGTTTTCATTATGAAAAATTTTCCTCTCCTCCAAGAACCTTATCAAGTTCAAGTTCAATCAACTCAGTATTAGCTGTGACCACACTATATTGTGTTCAAGTTGTTCTCACACCTTGAATCAAACTTTTATCCTATGAACTACAAATTGTGAATTTGTGCTTGGTTTTGTAACCATGTTGAGGGAAGAGGAGGGATAGAGAAAATGGGCAAGTAGATAATTAGTACATACAGGAAAAAGACAAGGAAGAACAGCTGAAGGGGACCAAGGAATACTGTGAAGAAAACTCAAGGACAGGGAGTAGTCTGGGTAGACACTGCAAGAGAGACAAGATGCAGGGATGGGGAAATGGGACAGTGCTGAAAAATTCAATATTTAAAGACTGGGTCATGTAAGAAAAGCTAATGAAGCATTTGGCAGGGAAAAAAATAAGATGGGACAGGACACAGAACTGCAGTAGGACTGAGAGAAGGGAATGAGGAGACAAAAACCAGAAATTTAATCAAGATGTATGATTACTTTTGCATGTCTAAGTTGCACTTTTACAGCTACACATGGCAATGGGATCTTGCTCAGTTCGCTCCTAATCATGCAACATGCAAATTACATCAGGCAACGCTTTCCCTCTGTGTTCCATACCCTGTGAGAAAAGTTAATGCTATAGAGACAGTAACTTGTTCTAGTTAATGCTATAGAGACAGTAACTTGTTCTCGGAAACTGAGTAGACTTCACAGCCCAGCCTTCCACCAGGAAACTGTTCATGCTCAGGGGACAAATCTGTGCCCAGATGATGCCAGTTCATGCTGCCTTTCTGTCCAGTTAACACTCTGAGGCATAACCCTCTGAATTTCTGGAGTTGGATTCCAAAACATTCAGTTCATTTAGTCAGGAGCTGCTGAATAGCTTTGACAACCATGTGAGAATGAATGATCTCAGTTATAAGTAAAAAGCTATTTGTCACTGTTTTCCATCTATTTCATATAAAAAAAACTAATATTTCCTTTGTGAGTAACATTTATTTGACCTGATGCTAAACTTTTTCATCCAATTCTTGCCTGATCACATTTGTAAAGCACTTCCCTTCATGTTTAAGGAAGGTTGATGGCTTTTGTATCCTTTTCAAAACCAGGGATACACCTCTAGTTCTGCACAAAATAAAACGTTCTGTCTCCCTCTACTGGCACTGGATTAAATCAAACCAGAAAAAGAAAAACTAGAAAGTAAATGTTTATTTTTATCTTAGAAACTTCTATACAGAAGCAATGCTCAAATAACAGAAGATTAATACTTTAACCATAGCTTCTAAACAAGTATTACAAAAAAGAATATTAAGGATCTTTTTGAACACAGCATGAGGCCCATGTAAAAGTATTATAGTTACTATATGCACAGCACCACCATAGCAACACAGCTATGACAGAGAAATTATTTATATCTTTGGGAAATTTTCTGCTAAAACTATTTCTTCATTAAAAATACACGAGAATTTTAATGAAATTTCTGTTTCTGTAACTTCAGCTTATTTTATATTGAATCAAATTTAATTCCTGCTTCCTTCCAGCCAGACTGACTTGCAATCAAGTGGGATCCTTTAATTCCTAAATAAATTATGGATAGTACATGGTTTTGGTTGTTTGTTTGTTGGCTTTTGGGTTTGTTTTGATTAAAACCAATCACAATTTGTGATTCAAGGAACTTCTGGTTTGCAATTTGATCAGTCAAAATACATTTAGTAATGAAAGCAAGCTGTCACTATATAAAATACAAGAGATGTCTTTCACATACTCTTTAGATGACAGCTGCAAAACCTCATTGTTTTTTACTGAATTCTGCTTTTCTCAAATGACTAAGTGTATAAAGCACTCTGCTTGTTCCTAATATGGATGTGAAATATTTCATAGTGCTTCCAAACAAACATATATCTTTTCTTACCCCAAATAAGTCAAAATCACAAGAGTAAGAGAAACAAGTGCCATGTCTGCTATGAGGCCATCACTGTGATTTCTTTCTTGCTAATTTTCTTCACTGAAGAATTTATTTAAGTTTAAAAAGCATTATTGAAATGAAACTCTTCATTCATACATCTTACAAACCAGAAGTACTACACAGTGTACTGATTTTATCATATATCTAATAGAACAATTTATATTCCTTTAACAGAGCCATGAACATTTATGAGTCCAACCAAAATGCATTTCACTCTGCAGTGACTTTTATTTTCTATGGTAATACCTTTTTGAATGCAAGACAAGCATCACCTGCTAAGGACAAGGGTCGGCAGCATATTGAGAAACACAGTAAGTTATGAAGATGTCCCTGGCACTGTTCCCCCACATTTACCCTACTCACTCTGGGGTTCAAGTGCTGCAGGCGCTGTGCTGGCTATTGTATTGTATTGGCTCTGGAGCACAAGCAAGTCAGATGTGGGCTCCCAAAGCTCCCAAAGCTGTCAGGGGCCAGGCCTGCAGAGACCAAGAGCCAGCACAGGTCTAAGACTGAGGAGTCAATGGCTCCCTGTGTGAGCTACAAGACTCACAGATCCTCAACTTTCAGACACTGAACACAGTTTTGAGCATAGAGTTTTTGAAATAGTTTTTTCTATCTGTAGAATCAGATTACAGCATCATAAAAATCATGCCAGAAAACAAGAGATCAAATTTATCAGCCCTGTAATTTCTGAACTAACTGAAATTACCACTAGGAGTTAATTTGTCAAGCAGCAATCAAAAAGGGTTAGACAGAATTTCCATCTTTTCATGAAACAGTACTTGTTTGCAATTGGTGTGTATAGATTGCTTAATGGTAGCATTCAAAGAGCTGAATGTGAACTTAAGGTTAATTGAAAACTACAGTTTTACCTCTAAACAGAGATTCCACTATGTGGGGGAAAATGCATTCAGAATTTACAGTCAAATCCTCTACATACGTAGTGGATTCAAGTAGTCTCATTAAAAAGGAGACTATAGTATATGCCTCCATACTGGTGGCATGGAGGCCTTGGTTATCAAGCTGAGGTTAAGAAAGGAGTTTTGGAGAAGAAATATGCCTACACAGTAGATGCCCACACAGCCAAAAACTTTCATGCCAGGTTTAGGTAAAACAAAGGAATGCTTTTAAATGCTTTAAAATGAAATTTCACATTAATACACAAGCTCTTACCTTGACTACATTAGCACATGCCACTACAGTAAAATTGTTTCAACAAAGTCTTTACATGCACCTCAAAGTTCCTACAGACATTTTTATGAAAAGACCATGCTTTATTTACTGTACCTGAACATTTCTGTACCTGTCACGCTGCATGTTAATGAAAAAATAAGATGGAACATTAGGTTATTTTCACATGTCCTTTCCAAAGGCATAATTTCTATTTATTCTTACATATCACGTTACATGAAGTTTTACTTTAGAAGAACTACCAAAAAGCACTTCAGTCTATCTTAAGATGACAACTTTGCCAAGTCAAACAAAAAGGTTTTACTGTGCAGGGAAAAAAGGCTAAACAATTAAAGAACATTATTTCTTCTCTTTCCCACACAATGTTTCAAAAACCCCCAAAACACTGATGCTGATAAAGGGCTTTGAGTGAAGTAGGTTTGTTTTTTGCTAATACTCTTCACCTTGGATCAACTTGGTAGAAAAGAGTTACACAGAATTAACAGCTGAGGCTGCAGCAGCTTACCCAGCTGAGCTAGTTGCACTTTGTCTGTTTCCAGGTAAAACTGACATCATTAGGAGTCAGTCACAACTAAGGAATAGCACAGCCCAGTCTCTTGACTTTAAATTAAGTGTGAGGGCTTAAATGAAACACTGCCCACATTAATGAAACAAACTATTTACACAAGTACACAGAGAGTACTTACAGCGCTTCTGGGAAACTGCCTGTAAACAAGCTGTGACAATGTCGCAGTTCTTCTGGACTTTTTGTACAAGCCTGTCTTTCTGCTTCAGAAGGCGGAGCAACTTTGCCGATTGAACGGAAATTCTGTAATTCAGTTCTCGTTTTATAGTTGTTAATTCATCAACATCTGCCAACAAGCAGAGAAAACAAATTCAGTACATGCCAAAAGATTCACAAGCAGCTTATTGTAGTTGACACAAGTGCAAAGGCACTTGCCCCACAGACATTTACAAATACAAGCTTTCTATAAATGACAAGTTCTATTGACTGGGGTAATTCCCAGTTATAAACACTTTCAGAATCTGAGCCAAAGTCTTTAATTTTCTTTTAAACAAAAGTACTTCAAGTTATTGCAGAGTATGAATCTTAACAACTTTACTGTTACAAACTTCTAGGAACGTGACAGATACAGACAGAATATATCAATGAGTGCAACCAGGAGATACATTTTAAATACAGTAACTTCCAGAAGCTGCCTGGACAAGATATACATTTGTAACAGACAAGGGAACATGTTCAAGAAGCTGCCTGCAGAGCTACAAACACAACTCCAGAATAAGCTCTAAGTGGGAAATTCTTTCCACTAAGATGCAGCTAGATGACTGTCACGGCCTCAGTTATCCCCACGGGCCAGTTATAGCGCCACCAGACCCCTTCAGTTCATCCAAATGTCTCATCTTAGTTCTAATATTCCTGTTGCCCGGCCATGAGGTGAGCTTCAGGACCAGAAAAGGGAGTTGTTGGGGAGATGTCTTAAGTCCATTCATTTTTCAGAGTCCTCTGCTCTGTTCTCAGACACTCCCCCCACCAGTGAAATCCTGGGTCTTGCCTATCACACGCTGCCCTCTCCAGCTCCTCCCTGCAACAGCCTGGCACGGCTTGCACCAGCATCTACACAGCTGCCTGCTCCCTCCAGATAACTTTTCAAACTATCACTTGCAGTGCAACCCCTGTCCCCTGACACTGGAAAGAAAATCCATCCAAAAAAATCCATTCTTCATTAACTTGATCTAATCAGAAAAATATATACCCATCCAAAAAAAGCTACTGTCAGTGGGATGGTAAACAGCTCAGCTCATGTGGCAAAGCTGTTTCAATAATTCTGGAGAGCTTAAAGAAAAGGAAAAATTAGGCTGAAACGACCATCAACCATGGGCTAGTGAAAAGTATGATTGCAAGGATGAAGGAGCCACTGGAAAAAAATTACTGAATTTTATAGTCACTACACTGTTTCAGCATCTGCTGCTCAGATACAATTCCCAACCACCTGTGCCAGGCAATGTAATTTAAAACTAGATATATGGATTTGAAAGAAAAAAAAAAAACCACAGAAGAAAAAAAAGTTGCATTTGTACTAACTAATTTATACAGCCACCACCAGAGTTGTCTGGTGAGTTTTACTCTTTTCCACTTGTGCCACTTAGCTGTGCCTCTAAAAAAACAGTAACTTGGCAGCAAAACTAATGAGTTGAAATACCACAAAATATATTTCTGAGCAAGGAAATTTCCTGTTGAGTTGCAGGTTGCCAAAGGACACACAGAAGAACTTGAGCTACATCCTAGTAACATCAGAAGGCGTGTCATCTCATTAAGAAGCCAAACACGGAAGCAGATAGCTGTTTGTCCAGCTCTGAAAAACAGGCATATTTAGTCACCTCTTGGGTTTTTTCCTCATCAAAAGCAAAAGTGATTAAACATCAGGAGACAAGAGGCCTTTGTTCTCTTTTCCTCTTCATTGGACCCGCTTGGAGTTGCACGTCTCGGTCTTTCACAAACATGTACTGTTGAGGCTACCTAACTTTCAGAAGAAGTCTTTAAAAAATTCATTTAGATTCTGATTGACTCCAGCATTTACATTCTTCATTACACTCCTTTTTTTTTTTTTTTTTTTTTTTTTTGTCAGAAGGCAGGCTGACCTCCAAATAAGCTTTACAGTTCTCCAGTTTAGTCTATGTCCAGTAGAACTAAAATGCTCTGAGAAAAGCTCTTATGATACGCTGTGCATAGCATCTCTTCTAGATTCAGAAAATAAGGACTGAGGAAAAGAAGGAAAAGAAGGAAAAGAAGGAAAAGAAGGAAAAGAAGGAAAAGAAGGAAAAGAAGGAAACTGGACATTTATTAATTACTATAAGTGAGGAAAAGCACCAAACTCGCAGAAACACAAAAGCTTAGGCAGTCTGTCACAGGAGCTAGTAGCAGACGACCCTAATTCGGCTCCTAGGGCACCTGAAACAAAAGAGAGGCGAACAGCACAGGAGGCCCTACTCTAAAGGAGCTCTCAGCTAACAGCACGTGGGAAGCCTGTGGGAGCCAGGGCCATGCAGAAAGCCGGGAAATGGACATATATACACACAAAGACACGTGCGGCAGGCACGGAGGGCATCTTCGGGCAGGACAGCCTGGCAGACCCAGAGGAAAAGCGAGGCGCAGGGGCAGCTCCGGCCCCGGCGGGCTGTACCTTTCAGCCGCAGGTACTTGACCTGGCTCTGCCGCTGCTGCAGCTCCCGGAGGCCGCGGGAGCGGGCGCTGCCCGAGGGTACGGCCGCCTCGGCGGCGCTGTACAGCTCGGTCAGCAGCCCGCTCACCAGCGACGAGGTGCGGCTGGACCGGCCGCTGCCGGGACCCGCCTCGTCCTCCTCCTCCTCCTCCTCTTCCTCGGCCAGGCTGTCGGCGCTGCTGCCCGCCCTGCCGCCCGCGCCGGTCTCCACCGCATCCATCTTCCGCGCCGCCGCCGCCGGGTTCCGGGCTCGGCGCGTCCCACGGTCACACGCCGGGGAGGGGCGAGCAGGGGAAGGGGAAGCGGCCCGGAGAGCCCAGACGGGAGCGCCGCGCCCGGCTCCGCTCCCTCCCCGCGCACCGTGGTAGCGGCCGGGGCGGGGGCGCTGCACCTGCCGAGGGGCGGGGACCGCGCTCCGCCTCGGGGCGGTGACACCGGGCGCGGTGACACCGGGCGCGGTACCCGTGCACCGTGCGGCTGCCGCGGAGCTCACTGCCGTCCTGCCGGCCGTCCCGCTCCTGCTCCTCCGCTGGAGGGGCGGCCCGGTTTTGGCAGTAATTCAGTACCTGTGCTGCGGCCGGTCCCCGCGACACCGCCTGCAACCCGGAGCGGATGGCGGGGTCCGCACGGCCGCCAGAGCCGGGCTCTGGCTGCGATACCGGTGGCGGTGCAGGGAGGCCCGGCCACACGTGTAACAGCCGCTACTAATTCAGGTCAGGAATGGGCAGAATCACAGTATGGGTGAGGTTGAGTGCTCCAACCTCCCTGCTCAGGCAGGGTTATCCCAGAGCACATTGCATAGGACTGTGTCCTGCCAGTTCCTTAGTGCCTGCAGTGAGCGAGACTCCACAACCTCTCTGGGCAACCTGTTCCAGTGCACAGTCACCAGCACAGTAAACAAGTTCTTCCTCATGTTCAGATGGGACTTCCTGTGCATCAGTCGCAGCCCGTTGCCTCTCGCCCTATGGCTCGGCTGAGATGACCGTTCCCCTGCCCAGAAGAGCGGCCCGTATCCTGCCGGCACGCCTCCCGCGGATGTTTCCCCAGCGCTCGGCGGCGCGGCGCTCACGCTCGGGAAGCGCCTCCCGCGGGGGCGGGGCTTGGGGCGGGGCCGCGGCTGCCGCCCGGGCCACGTGACCCCGCCCCCCGCGCTCCCGGGTCATATGCCGGGGGCGGGGCAGGCCCGCGCGTTGCTGCTGCTCCGGCTCCGCGGCCGCTCCGCGCCTGTGGCGGCCCCGACCCGCCTGGCCCCGCCATGTCCCCCGCCGCGCTGCTCCGGGCTCTGCCGCTGGCCGCGCTGCTGCTGCTCGGCCCGGCGCGGGCAGTCCGGCAGGCGCGGAGGCCCAACGTGGTGCTTATCCTCACCGATGACCAGGACGTCTGCCTGGGCGGCATGGTAACCCTGCGGCGGGGGGCTGGCGGCTGTGTGGCGAGGGGGGCTCGCCGCCCGCCCGGGTCGCGTACCGGGCTGTCGGACGGCGAGACCGAGCTCGGCGGGCGCGGTGTGGGCGAGGGTCGCTCGGGGTCGCGCTGGGCCCAGCCCGGAGCCGGGCAGGGGCTCACTGCGGCCTCGGGCCGAGCAGCCCCGCGGAAGGAGCGTCGCGGTGGGGCTGGCACGGGTGGGATGAGCCGCTCTGCGGGGCTCGGGGGGCCGGGGCCTCCCTGGAGCAGCCGCTGCAGATAGGTATTCCCGTAAACACTCCCCACTTGGGCTCGCTTGGGCCCGCTTGTGCAATCGCTGTGGCCGCGCCAGGCCCTAGCGAGAAGGAAAGGGCACTCTTAGTGTCTTGCCGGGGTTGTTCCTAAAACCTGTGGTGTTGGGCCTTTTCCCAGGCAGCCTGCTTCTAGTCCGTGGCTTCGCCTGACATCCTTGCATTTTTAGCTGATACCTTTTTGGTGCTTTCCTTTCAGACGCCCCTAAAGAAGACTAACGCTCTTATTGCCCAGATGGGAATAACCTTCGTAAATGCAGTAAGTGTTTGCATGAACGCTCTGAACTTCTGAGGCGTGTGCGTTTATGTATTTTGTATCGTAGGTCATGTGAGATCTCAAAAAATGCTATCAGCTTTATGAAACCTGTAGATGTGGATGTGAGGTTTTTAAAACTCAATTGCTACCTACTTTTAGGTCTCAAACGAATATAACTTAAGGGGATGTTCAAAATCTGTAGTTTCACTTTCTGAAAGCACTTGTGCTCACTTCCTTAATCTGTAAAGTAAAACTGCGTGGTCTGAATATTAAAAGACGCTGCTCAAAACTTTCATCAGCTTCGTGCACTCTTTTCATATTCTGGTGTACCTCCGTGGCTAAAATAATGGAGTGAATCAACAATCAGTATTTTAGTGGGTTCTTGCCTAAAAGAAAGCCATGTCTGGTCTGGTGGTGAGAAGTTGAAGGGCATGCACTACAGAGGCCTGAAATTGGTTTCATGTGCAGTTTTTGCTAGTGAAAATACTGAAGATATAATTCTGGGTGTCCAGAAAGAAGTAGGTTTGACTGTTTAATATATTAATCAACCTGTTAGCTGATATTTAAAAACTGTAAATTTTGGCATAAAATTGTTTTACTATCCAAGTCTTAAATCTCCTCATTCTGTTTTTCCAGTATGTCCCCAGTGCACTTTGCTGTCCCAGTCGAGCAAGCATTTTAACAGGAAAATATCCACATAACCATCATGTCGTCAATAACACTCTGGAAGGGAACTGTAGCAGCAAGTTGTGGCAGAAGATTCAAGAACCATACACCTTCCCAGCACTGCTCAAAGCTATGTGTGGTTATCAAACATTCTTTGCTGGAAAGTACTTAAATGAGGTACTTGGTTTGTTTTTTTGTGGTTTGTTGTAAGAGTCAAGTGTTCACTGAGGCAAATGTTCACTTGTATATGTGTGCTTTAGGTTTTTTGTCTTTTGAACTAGGATATAGTTTCTAGGAGTTCATAGTAAGATGTAAAGTTCAGCAGTGAAAGCTGTAAGGCTGTGTGTTCCTCTTGTGTGATGGAATTGGATTAGGAGCTGTATGAGCTACAGGGTTCTTAATAGCATGTTTGCTTTGCATCTCATGCTGGAAAACGGTGCTATAAAAAAGCAATGGGACATGAATCTTCACAGCACACACGGATTTGTGTCTGCTGATGTTCCTGAGGCAGCAAGGGGAAGGAAAACTCAGCTGGCTTCCTCTGAGCATCCCTTGACTCAGCAGAGTCTCTCATGCCTGCAGTTGGGGGAGCCATGTAGATTGGAGAGGGCTGCCCTGAGAAAACCCCTTGTGTTGCTCTAAGGCACCCTCTGTTTTGAGTTTGGCACTGACTCAGCAGCTACTTTCCCTATTTTGCTATCTTAAAGGCTAGTTGTTGTAGATTATTTGGCACTGAGGTGGCATTACTTGGAGTTCCTACCCCTCCTGGGGGAGGATGAAGGAAGCTGTTGGTCTGTGTGGAATTCTCTTTAGTGTCTTGTGAACTGTTATCACAAAGCCTGCAAGTGTCTTGTCACATGGATGTTTTGGTCACTGCTCATTATTTGATATGTACACTATGTTCTCCAGGATCTCTGCATGCTTTCACATGCAGAATGGAGCTGGGAGTAATATTTAAATTTTACTGATGATTGCTAGGTCTTCAGTTACTGTCTAGTTATTGAACCCTGGTTTCTTTAATAGGCCCTCCATGTGTTTTTATATGCATATATATGTGGTTTTCCACATTCTGAAATTGAATTTGGCTTGACATGGTGTTGAATAAAGCACATGAAAATGAAACATAATGTCTAGCTTTGATTCATCATAATTGAAACTGTGAGTCATGTTCTCTCTTTTTTCAGTATGGAGCAGAAGATGCAGGGGGAGTAGGTCATGTCCCTCCTGGATGGAGTTTTTGGTATGCTTTGGTATGTGAGTTTTTCTTTTTTTTTTTTTTTTTTAACAACTTCATTTTGGTTGCTTTATAATCCAACTCATGTTATATCTTTGCTGGTCATGAAAGAGCAGGAAAAGAACATCTAATGATTTAATTAAGATTTTCTTTCCCTTTTTCCTTAATTGTACATTTGATCTGTGGCTTTTACAAGGGGTGCTCCTATTGAGTGCCTGGAGAAAAGAAAGCCATTTGTAAAGCCAGAGCAGTGTGAGATAGCACTAGCACCAGTTTTGTTGGTGGAGACCACTTCTGAGAATTTTTGCAGTATCCTTATGGCAGGTGCTCATAATCTATTTGACAAATGCTCGGAGGCAATTAATTTGGGTTTTTTCAAGTAATCAATGTACATGTTGCTTTGAATAAGTTATCTGTGTCACTTTTTCACAGGAGAAGAATTCAAAGTACTACAACTATACTCTCTCAGTCAATGGCAAAGCACGAAGGCATGGCGAGAACTACAGTGTAGATTATCTGACAGATGTACTGGTGAGAAATTTTGCACTGTGTGGTACAGAAACTGCTTATGACCAGATAATGCCTCATGCTGGGGACTTGGGAATGGCTGAGATAATTTCTTAGGCTGTATTAATTTACAAATGGACAATTGTACTGTTGTGAGGGTGCATAGCATTTATCAGCAAAGCAAGACTGAGTATATTTAAAAATGACAGGCTTATGTTTGAGCTGTGCAGAGGAAAGGGGTTCCAGCTATTTGCTGGCCAGTAGCCTCACTGAGGAGTTAATACTGACTGCTGTGCTACAGGAGAAACAGGTAGGCAGAGATTTAAATTACTTTATACAAGGATATGTTTCATTATAATATGGAACTTCTGTAACAGATTAACTGGGCCAGGATTTCAGTAGGAAGCATGTGAAAATAAACTTCACACCGTGTTTTGTTTCTTAGGTGTTATGATGTGTTAGTATCTTGTAGTCTCCAACTCCATCAGTCTGATAACTTGTAAATATTGTAAATATTAAAGCTTAATCAGTCCTTCTTAGTATATGAGAGCAATGTGTGGCTGATCAGGGGAGGTTTTAGCCTCTTTATCTGCATAAAATAAAGACAGGTAACAAAGATGTCAGATCCTTTAAGTAAGGATGGAAGAGTTACTTTAGCTCTCTTAAGGCCCTGTTTGGTAAGGGGCTGGGGGGAGGGGGGATTGTCCCCCGTCTGCCAAGCAGGAGTCATAATTTGATGTGCTGTTACAGTGTACAGTTGGTACTGGGTAACAGTGTATAGCAAAACTCACTAAAACTCTTCTCTAGAAATGTCTCCTCCTCCAGTCTTGTAGTGTTTCATTGGC